GGCTGCTCTCGCGAGAACCCAGGAACCAGGCAGTGAGCTTTCGTGGTGCCAGCCTCTTCAGGTCCTCTGAGGGAGCAAGCTCAGGGATCCCTCAGGCGAGGTGCCTTCGGTGGATATGCGGGGAAGGCGGGCATGAGGCTCTTTGGGGAAGAGGGTGTGAAGGGCGGGGCAGCCAGGCTGACCTGCGAGGAAATGGGCAGGGCAGGGAGCTGGAGCTGCCTGAGTGGTCCCCAGGGCCCAGGAGGGTCCCGGAGGCCTGTACATGTGTGCAGCGTTTGTGAGAGGGAGGTTGGGGGGGTTCGACATGGGTCCGTCTTGTCTGGCCGCCCATCAGGACGGGATACTTGGGGTGACCAGGGGTTCCCTGGGCGTTCAGGCTAGCGAGTGGGCAGTCCCTGCCCCTGTCAGAAACAGTTGCACACCGGCTCAATCCATGGAGATGGTTGGGGAGATCCTGTGTCACCCCGCGGCCCTCCTGACTACATGGGGTCGCTGGGGAACCCAGGGGCACTGCAGGAATCCCGCAGAGGCCGCGGAATTCTGCGAGCTCTGCAGCCAGCCCCAGGGAAGCGCTGGACGGGCCAGGACAGGAAAGGATGATGGCATCTTCTCCGCGTCCCCTCCTGCTCCCACAGGGGACTCGGGGCGCCCTTGAACCCGCGATCCTGATGGCTTTCATTTAACACGCCTCGTTTCCTTAGTTTCCTTAGTGTGTCTTTGTACTCACCAGGTTCAGAGGCTGCCTCTAGCTTCCCAGGACAGCCAGCCATGCAGCCCGTGGGCAGGAAGCGCAGCAGGATGGCTGCCAGGGACCAGTTGGAGGCTCAAGTTACGGTCGCCCAGGAAATGGAGCTTGCGGGTAAACACAGTCCAAGGGGATCTGGAAGAAGGTGCATGCCTGACGGTCTGCCTGCTTTCTGTGCTGGGGGCACACGGGCAGCCCGAGGCCCCCGACCCCTTCGTGGCTTTGGAGTCCACCGTGCCTGTGCTAAGATGCCCCAGGTTTTCAGCGCAGGCTCAAGGGCCTTAGGCTTCCCGTGGGAGGCTCCCCCTCATAGCAGGGTTACAAATGCTCTCAAAGCAGCTCTTCTCCATGGGTGCTGTCCTGACATCCAAGGGGTCTGGACCTGTGAACGTTGTTTACTGGGACTTGAACCCGAAGGGCTTCCAAATCTACAAAGTCTACAAATAGTACGTTTCTCTACCAAAAAAAAAAAAAAAAAAAAAAATGTCCACAACAGCGTCTTCCTCTAAAAAAGTTTGTCTTTTTTATTTTAATGCAGGAAAGGCTCCAGTACGTTATGAGCATGAGGAAAGAAAACCTGTTACAGAGACAAATAAGGGAGATGTAACTGATGAGCTTCAGGAAAGAGAACCTTTTGCTGAAACAGATGAACACGTGGGGTAAAGTGTTTAAATCACTTTTGCCTGTGGGATAAGGTCTTTAGGAAAAGTCAGCTTTGGATCATGTCATCACTGTTCTGTTCTATGCAGAACATTTCATGTAAAACATTTCTTCCCAACAAACATGGCATTTTGTGTAGCATTATGTTAAAATTTTGTTGCAACTTTTTTTTACAGGGTTGATACCAAGGAGCTAGAAGATATTGCAGGTATATTTTACGAGCTTTTTGTGGTTTATGAAAATTGTTTTTAACCATACAACTGTTACAGTAGGTTATATGAATTAGTGGATGACAAGACGGTCTTAAATGCCTTCTTCTCATGTATAGCATTTAATGTAATCTGATAATTTTTCTTACTTACCTTTTTAATTGTTCATGCAGAATGTGAGGATGCTTCTAATAATGGCAAGAGGGATGGCTTTTCTTTCATACACGTGGAAATTTAATTGTTTGGGGGATATTAGAGGACATTGGAGGAGAAACAGCTCTATTCATTCCTTTCAGTGTACACACATTAAGTCATATATCAGGTTTTTTTTAGCTTTTACTTTAGGTTTGGTGGTACATATGCAGGTTTGTTACATAGATAAATTGTGTGTCACAGGATTTTGGTATACAGATTATTTTGTCACCCAGATTATAAGCATAGTACCTGATGGGTGGTTTTCAATCCTCACCCTCCTCCTACCCTCCACCCTCAAGTAGGCCCAGGTGTGTGTTGGTCCCCTCTTCCTGTCTGTATGTACTCAAAGTTTTTAACATGAGCTTTTCATGTTCGTAATTTAGGTATTGTCACAACTTTCTGATTTTGTTTTCTTTAAAGTACCAGGGAAAATTGAATTATCTAAAATGATGATTTTCTATTATTATTCCAGTAATAAATTGTGTAGTAGAAAAGGAAAGACAACCTTTCTACCCAGTGAGAAACATGTAATTGGATCCAAAAACTCATAAACTTTATATTGCCATGTGAAATATTAGTTGCACTGTTATAGGACCATATCTTCAAAAAAGTTTGAGAAAATTTCTGTAGAGACGATGGAGACAATACTCTTATTTTTAAAAAGCTTACTTTAATTTTCAGCTCTTCTATAGTGATAATTCATACAAGCAGTATATTTGGAAAACTTTGCTCTGCTTGGTGGTGACAAAGTGCTGGTTTTGTGAGCTTCCTAATACATTGAGCGTTACAGATGGATACCATATGTAAAAAATATTTGTATTATGGTGCAGCTCTTCTATGATTGCCGAAAACTATTCTTAGCAATTGATGGTAGATCTCTGATGTGAAACCATGTTTGGGAAAGCATTCCTTGCAGTATTACAGTTTTCTGAAACACCACACTATGGGTAAAAATGTCAGATAAAAAGCTCTCAGAAAATATTTCAAACGTGTTTTTGAATGTATTTCTTTATCTGTTTAAACCTAAATGTTTATACCCATGGACATTGCTTCTTTTATTAAAATACAGTTAATAGCATCAACCACGAGATTGATTAAAAATACTTTGCTTATTGTGTATTATTTCTACCCTTTTGATGGTCTTATTAAATAAGATACTTTTTTGTGCTTTACATAATGAGTTGTGACAGTATTTCACAGAAATATGTCCTTTGATTTGTAGGACATTTTATAAATGTAGAAATTAAAGTCTGTGGCTGGGCGCGGTGGCTCACGCCTGTAATCCCAGCACTTTGGGAGGCCGAGGCGGGCGGATCACGAGGTCAGGAGATGGAGACCATCCTGGCTAACACGGTGAAACCCCATCTCCACTAAAAATACAAAAATTAGCCAGGCATAGTGGAGGGCGCCTGTAGTCCCAGCTACTCGGAGGCTAAGGCAGGAGAATGGCGTGAACCCAGGAGGCGGAGGTTGCAGTAAGCCGAGATTGTGCCACTGCACTCCAGCCTGGGTGACAGAGCGAGACTCCATCTCAAAAAAAAAAAAAAAAAAAAAGAAACCCCAACCAAAAAAAAAAAAAAAAAAAAAAAAGAAATTAAAGTCTGTGTTTGTAACCCTTTCTGCACACTTGAAAAATAGAAACTTGCCGGGCGCAGGTGGCTCACGCCTGTAATCCCAGCACATTGGGAGGCCGAGGCGGGCGGATCACGAGGTCAGGAGATGGAGACCATCCTGGCTAACATGGTGAAACCGTCTCTACTAAAAATACAAAAAAATTAGCCGGGCGTGGTGGCGGACGCCTGTAGTCCCAGCTACTAGGAAGACTGAAGCAGGAGAATGGCATGAACCCGGGAGGTGGAGCTTGCAGTGAGCCGAGATCGCGCCACTGCACTCCAGCCTGGGCGACAGAGGGATACTCCCTCCCAGAAAAAAAAAAGAAAAGAAACTGTTTTAATTATTTGCTTTTTTTCATCATCCGTCAATTAAGTGATTTGCTGTTATACCAATTGAAATTGGAATACTAATATTAATACCTGAAAGGTTTTACATAAAGTGAGTAAATCTTGCTTTGTAAAATGATCTTTGCATTTTACATTTTAAATGTCCTTCTGATATTGCTGAACCATCAAGTCACATATTGATTTCAATATATGCAAAGAAACTACTTTTCAACATGAACTTTTAATACATATTCATTTACTATCTAGCTGAGATTAAAGAAGATCTTGCTGCAAAGAGAAAAAGGAGTGAAAAGATTGCAAAAGCTTGCAGTGAAATAAAGAATAGAGTTAAAAACGTTTTGAGAACAATGCAACTAAAAAGGTATGATTGTTGGCTTTTTTGCATCATGATATTTATATCATTGGCATCTACATATTGGCATCTCTAGTGAAGAACATATTTTACTTGATTGTTCCCTAAGCAGGTAAGTTTCTTTAGTTTTATAACCTCAGTTTAACAGAATTGAGAGATATTACCTAGAAGCCAATGAAGATGACCTCTTTTTGCCTTCCAGATAAAAATAGTCTTCCTGGGGCCGGGCGCGGTGGCTCAAGCCTGTAATCCCAGCACTTTGGGAGGCCGAGACGGGTGGATCACGAGGTCAGGAGATCGAGACCATCCTGGCTAACACGGTGAAACCCCGTCTCTACTAAAAAATACAAAAAACTAGCCGGGCAAGGTGGCGGGCGCCTGTAGTCCCAGCTACTCAGGAGGCTGAGGCAGGAGAACGGCGTGAACCCGGGAGGCGGAGCTTGCAGTGAGCTGAGATCCGGCCACTGCACTCCAGCCTGGGCCACAGAGCGAGACTCTGTCTCAAAAAAAAAAAAAAAATAGTCTTCCTGTAAAATTAATGTTTAGCCATTTCTAGAAATATGGTAGCTGAATATAAGATAAATGTCTTCAATGTTTAGTCTGTAGATTCTTAACAGTATTCAATTATGTAGAAAGGGATAACCTTATGTTGTAAATAAGTTATTAAACTGTTTTCACTATTCCTTTTATGAAATCATTGTTGTGCCAAAGTGGAGAAATAGTTAAGTGAAGTATTTCTTTTGGGAAATCTTACGGGATGAATGGCTACAATATTCTCGAACCTACTTATGAGAACCCATATGTTATTTAGTAAGAAGAAATGAAAAGTAAACTGCTCTTGGAGAAAATGATTGTTTCTGGGAAATTTATAGTGCAGTAAACCCTCCTTAGTCTTCAACACGTAAAGAATATAAGATAGCTGCTCTAGTAGTCAGTTAGGAAAGGATCCTTTCAGAATGAGAGTAACTCATTTCACCTTTTCCCAAAAAGATTTCAGCTGCTATTACTCCCTTGCTATTTCATAGTATAAACTATGTCAAGTCAGTTTTGGTTTGAATAGGATTAATTTTTCATCTCTCTATGATGTATGACCTTGTTACTTATTATGTGTTATAGGCAGAAACGTGATTACAGAATTTCTCTGAAGTTGCCGAATGTCCTTGAAGAGTTCACCACAGATGAGCAGAAAGATGAAGAAGGAGAAGGAGAAAAGGAAGAACAAATTGTTGGTATCAGGCTTAGCTTTATGATTTACCTATTGTATCAATGTCTCAGGGAGTAATAGTTCATGCAGAAATCCAGCGAAGAAGGAAGAGAGCATGAGCCCAAAGAGGGGGCCCGTTAGTGGACTCATGTACCAGGGGAATATAATTGCCATGCAGCATTAGGGGTCCAACTGAGGTCAGCATCATAGCGATTAAGAAGTTAAAGTGAGCCCAGTTGGCATATTTGTACAAGAACAGCTGTAGGGTTGGAATTTCCTGGGTTGGGGTGTAGCCGAGCATGTTGATAGAGGGAGAGTTGGGCAGGGCATAGACACAGGGATGGGGTTATGATGACTAGCTGTGGAATTTCAGCTGGGACTGAGTTACCTGAGCACATGGGGGTGGGACATTGGGCAGTGAAAAGTGCTCCATTCAATAGGCATCAAGTCCTGACAGACTCCTGAGCTGTAGTACTGAAGTGAGTGACCTACAGTGGCAGGAAGGTAGTGGCTATATGTTGGGAAGATGGAGAAGCAGCTGATTGCAGTGGTCAAGGGCTGGGACTCTGGAGCCCCACTGCTTTTGATCCAGTTCCAGTTTGACCATTGCTAGCTCAGGAACCATGGGCAAATTATTTATCTCTGTGCTAAAGTTTCTTTATATACGAAAGGAGACATGGTAAGAGTACCTACTTCAGAGTTGTTTGGAGGATTAAAGGATTCCTATGTAACGGGTTTATTTAAATTTTTCAGGATGCGATCTGGCTCATGGTTGCTGTTTATCAATGCTATTATTAGTATTATGTAGGTATTATGGTCATTGGGAACGACAAAATTTAGGGGATGACTGTGTGTGCCACATAGTGGAGACGAGAACACTGTTGTTGGAGATTAGGTCAAGGTGCAGAAAAACAGTCATTAATGGAAGGTTCATCTATGTACATATTGAAATGACCAAGATTTAATACGTGTTTAAAATCTTAATAAGAAAGAATGTTTCTTAGTTAATTTCTGTATAGATCTTACCTATCTGTGGTCAACAAATTATAGGGAAGGTCATCAAATACTCTTCATTTGAAATCAAGAATTGGGACGTGCATGTTGAATATGTACAAGAAAGAAAATTCTTTACTCCATTACTGATTAAAAAGGTTATCGTTTTAGCACGTGAGTGGTGAACACAATTGTTTCAAATTTGGTCATAAACGTTGTCTAAAATAAAGTGTTCACAGGTATTGATTTAAAGAGTATTTCTTTAATGCAGAATTATGTTTTGTATTAAAATTTACCCAATTTTAATCACTTTTTTGTTTTGTGCTTCTAGAAGATATTTCAAGAGCAACAAAAGAGGTGGCAACAAGATAAGAAAGGAACTGAAAGAGATTGAGCCATCACACGAGCAGTTCACAAAGGTCTGTTCTATTTGGTAACACAATATATTCTTATAAAATACAACACATGCATAAAAATAGAAGACAGTCTGCTTGTTTCTGAATGTATGGAAAGATATTTTGGTTATAAATTTTGAATTACCATTTTCACTTTGAATGTATTGTTCCAGATTTAACATAATTGGTAAATGCAGTAACATAAAACAGTATTTTTAGGATTCATGAATAGTTTTGTGGGAGTTATTTAGAACAGGAAAAGGTAAATTGGAAATTTTATCTAGAAATATACCTCTTGTGTATAAAAATTGATACTTTATGAACACATTAATGAAGACTTTATTTTCAGTTTTTAGGAGATCAGCGACAAATCTTTGGAAGGCAGAAAGTCCATAAGTCCTTTCTAGATGTCTTTTTCACTTGTGTTGTTTCAAGAGTTTTAGTTAAATAGGAGGTAGGCAAATGTAACTACTGAGTATCTCTTTTATTTTCTGCTGTAATGTAGGAGTGTTTTATGGCATATTCACTTTCAAAATTATTAGTGACTAGTAATGGTTTTACATGACAATTTGTAATAATAAGGGATGGTTCAGATGTACAACAGAATGGGAAAGCCAGCAGATTATTAACACGTTGTGAATTGTGAATTATCTGCTGTCGTACAGCACATTAGCAAATTGTCATCGGACAATGACCTCTTCTTCATGTAGATGTATATTATTTAGGAAACAATGGAATTCCTTTCTGTGAGGTAAGGTATTCTTTTTAACAATCTTGTGAAAAGACATGTTCATATGTCACTCCTCTACACTAACTGAGATGTGTTAAATAAACTGGGAAAGAGTTTGAAAATAAAATTTTTGAGCAACTTGAGGATTATCTATACACAACACAGTTATTTATATAGAAGTCACAAGTGGAGAACATGTTACTATAATGTTCCCCAGAAACCATTTATTAATTGGTATGAACTTGAGACTAGAAAATTTTTCCTGTCAATGTTAATGCTACATGTTACCACTTAGGGTAGGAACTTCGGTATCATCTTGGACTCTTCTGAGTCCATTATCTTTCCCATGCAGTTATCATGAGGCAAGTTTTACCTCTGCAATGGTCCTTAAATTTCTTTTTTTAAATTGCCACTGAGGCTACCCTAGTTCAAGACCTCATTCTTCCTTGCTTATACTATTAAACTCTTTTCTGAGTTCTCTCTTCTCTTCTGAGCCACCTTTCATTGATCAGAAATACTATCTTCCTAAAACTCTTCCCTTTCAAAAATGCTTCTAGCCCTTCCCTCTTCCCAGCCTGTCAGTGGCACCCACATGTCAGTTCTTAGATATTCAGAGACTCTCCCCTTTACATGACCCCCTCTTAGGCTTGTTTTGCCGCCTTCTGTCTTTCTTCTTGCCTCTCCGGGTTGACAGCCTTCTCTGAACATCCTCTCCATTAATCTCATGCTTTGTTCATGCTCTTCCCTCACAATGCTTTTTAAATCTCTTTTTTTCTTGTTTTTGACCGATTGAAATCTTTTGCCAACTAAGTTGACATCAGTCTCCATTTTTGGCTACATGTCCGAGTGAGTTGCCCTTCCATAGCAGTTAAATAAGTTTTGTTATCAAGGTTTTTTTATTCGTGCATTTCCTCATGTCACAGGAATATGAAAGAGATTGTGTGTTCATTTTTTACATCTTCCTCAGCATTAACATACCACATTTTAGGGAGTAGGAACTGTTGAACTGTTTGCTGAGGGAATAGTATATATTTCAAACATAGTTATGTTTTCTCTAACTTGATGAGGTCATATCACAGACCATTGTATCCCTTCAGTGGAAACCATGTTATATGGACTATTAGTGATAACAAATGGGTCACTACCTGGTGAAAAAATACGGTATTTCATGATGTAAGACTACCAGTCTTTTTCTGTTTTTGCTCCATCTTGACCATAACATGTTTATCAAACCATTTTCTTCAAGCAAAGTACATGACTGTTGGACGTGCTATAATAATATTTCACTGAAATCTGGTATTAAAATATTTAAGTATTTGGAGCTCCATGTATTGATTACAGTTTTTAAATTTGAAATAAGGGGGCGGGGCACAGAGGCTCACACCTGTAATTCCAGCACTTTAGGAGGCCGAGGCGGGCAGATCATGAGGTCAGATCGAGACCATCCTGGCTAACACGGTGAAACCCCATCTCTACTAAAAACACAAAAAATTAGCCAGGCATGGTGGCGGGCGCCTGTAGTCCCAGTTACTCGGGAGGCTGAGGCAGAAGAATGGCGTGAACCCGGGAGGCGGAGCTTGCAGTGAGCCGAGATCGTGCCACTGCACTCCATCCAGCTTGGGCAACAGAGCGAGACTCTGTCTCAAAAAATAATAATAATAATAAGTAACCAGCATCCTTTGAATACTAAAAGCTGTTTCCTTTTGACATTTAATTTACTCTGTTTAAAACGTGAGATGTAAAGTGATGGTTTGTCAGTGAACTAGACTTTTTGTTTTAAGAGTATCAAGGACTTGGAAGAATATGATGAAAGCCCTCTTTTTGGTGAAGAGAGTCAACTTAAAAAATAAATCACCCTGGCTGGGTGCAGTGGCTCACGCCTGTATTCCCAGCACTTTGGGAGGCCGACGCGGGTGGATCACGAGGTCAGGCGATGGAGACCATCCTGGCTAACATGGTGAAACCCCGTCTCTACTAAATACAAAAA